TGGCAGCTCAGCTCCTTCTGATGCTGAAACTTGGGCAGACACCTGTCTCCAGAAGGGAAATCTGGGCACAGAGACTGCGTGGGAGCTGTGCTGCCCTGCAGGCAGGTATACAAGCTAAGCCACAGGGACCTGAGGGCACGACCTGATGCAATCCAGCCACTGCAGCAATGTTTGGGGATGAGAAGATAGGCATGAGGCTGGGACAGATTTGTCAAAGCCAGGGGAGAAGAAAGAGAGAAACTTCATGGGAACCAGATGTAAGTAAAGATGACATCTCTCACCTGTAGGGGCCTCAAAAGGTTCCTGAATGTCAGCATTGTGAATACATTCTAAATGAGAGCTTATCCCTCTTCTGGAGCAAAGGCCTTGGGGCGGGTGAAGAGGTATAATGCACGAGATTTTGGACACTGTCACACAATGTAATTTCTGTTTCTATGTTTTTGGGTTTTTTTTACATTGTTGCATCACCTCGCTGTCGGACAGGGTGAGCCAGCTCTTGAGAGGAATTCAAAGTGTGCAGGAAAGACTACTTCACACATTATTTGAGTTGGTGGAAATGCCCGATTGCAGAGAGGTGGGCTTAACTGTTCAACCGGTCAAGCAGCATTCTAGGGAAAGGGCTTCTCTGCTGCTATGCAATTCCTGCGATGGTAGGCAAGCTATGAGAATGAGCATTTCCAGACATGATCCCCCCCTTCCAAGTGGCTAACTTGATACTTAAGGTTCTTGTTTCAAGAATGGTGATCACTCAAAACCTGTTTGCGCTTATGCTGTAGGTGCATATAAACAAATCATAGAATAGTTAGGGTTGGAAAGGACCTCAAGATCATCAAGTTCCAACCCCCCTGCCATGGGCAGGGACACCTCACTCTAAACCCTATCACCCAAGGCCTCGTCCAACCTGGCCTTGAACACTGCCAGGGATGGAGCATTCACAACCTCCCTGGGCAACCTATTCCAGTGCCTCACCACCCTAACAGTAAAGAATTTCCTCCTTATATCCAATCTAAACTTCCCCTGTTTAAGTTTTAACCCATTACCCCTTGTCCTATCACTACAGTCCCTAACGAAGAGTCCCTCCCCGGCATCCCTATAGCCCCCCTTCAGATACTGGAAGGCTGCTATGAGGTCTCCATGCAGCCTTCTCTTCTCCAGGCTGAACAGCCCCAACTTTCTCAGCCTATCTTCAATGCTGAAATACAAAATAAGCAAGTGAGAGACATTAAATTACAGGCTCAGATGCATGGCTGCATCACCATACTTTGGGCCCCCAGGGATGTAGCCTCATTAACACCTTCTTAAAGGCCTGCAACATTGTCAAAGTAAGCGATCATTTGTGTTTCGCAAAGATGACATTAAAATGAGAGAGAAATGAGGATGTTCATTCCTCACTGGGATGGGCTTTGGACTTTGACCAAATACATAAACACTGAGAACACAGAAAATGTGATGAAAAATGGAATAATGAATAGCCGCTCACTGGGGGTTCCAACGAAAAATACTGTGCCATCATGTAATTAAAGCAACCTTAATGGAGGCATTTCAGAGTACTTGACTATGGCCCTTCATTATTCCTTTCATAAGGTGTTTTGTTGCGTACATAACACACCCAGCTACACCTTGAGCCTCTCTTACACCCAATTCTTAATATTTGGGAAAGAAAAGGGTTCATACGAATTGATACAGGAGAACAAAGAACTGACGCGCTGCGCTTGGTTTGTATCCAATTGCTAAAACACAAGTGAAACAGACACACTGGTTTTGCAAATTTAAACAGAAGCAGTTATTCTTCCCCTAGAAACTCAGTCGTAGGGAAATGGCTTAGGATTTTGGCAAGACTTACTCACGCAAGATCTAACACATTGAGTCTCGTCTCCAGATATGCCTGTACTGCAAAAAAATAACATCAAGGTTCCCTGCAGCATTTAATCTCCCATTTTCTTTTATGTCCAGACTTGTGTAGTGTTGCAAATCATGGACTTAGTTCTAAGCTTTATTTTTCCTTCCTGAAAAGTGCTCACAAAGAAGTTGAACATGCATGAAATTGAAGATACATTTCTTTTAAATACAGGCTTTAAAGAAAATCGTTTAGATCACATCCTAACCCCCACCAAAAAAAACCAAACCCATCACCACAGTGTTTAGGATTATCTGTTTATTTATTTCAGTTAAAACAAACATACAATGTTTCATTGAAACTGTGTTGCACTCCCTGCCAACAACTGGAGCTAGACTGCTGGCCTCTAACAAGACGGTGGGTATTTACATATGTACACGGATGTACCGCAGGATGCCTGAATTCAGTGGCCTAACAAATATGTTAGATCCTAAAAGCTGTTATGTTGCTGCATTCAGGAAATCATCACATCCATGGTAAATTGTAGCGGAAAAGCATACATGAACCTGAACGATGCTTTTTATGGACCCAAGTAACTCCCGTGTTTATTGCAACATATACATTTGTAATAAATACAATCTTAGTGTTTTCTTACACACTGTAGGCGTAACACATCTCTGCCATTTTTGCAAGCATTACATTTTGCTGTAAAAGAATCTTTCCTTTGACAGTTGTTATACAGATGGACAACGTGAACAACTCCTTGAAATGATGCAACAATCAGTAATGAGAGAGGAATATATACATAAATCCTGGATTCCAAACCTACATTATATACATTTTACTTACAGTATATACACACATACAATTTTATGTACATAGACTATCATAAATATTGAAAAATAGGCTTAGTTTTAATGGATTAATGTTTTATAAATAACATATTTATGACTGAAATATCATGGAAGACAGTAATGTCTGAGGTGACAAAACAGTGGTTTAATACTGAAGCTGCTCTTTTTAGGTGGTTTGTAATGTAGGTAACTTGTAAGCAGACAGGTTTGGAAAAAAATATGTAATTAAAGAAATCATATGTTGGAAACCAACCCAGCCAAGGGGAACTCAACTGTTGCAGGTGGAGAACCAGTCACCAAACAATACAACACATCATGTAAAATCTGGAAATTGCTACATTCAGAGAATTAAGTGACGTATATGGTATGGTATGAGGTGCCATCTCAAACATCTTCCTCCTCTTTGGCTGCTGAGAGGACTGAGTAGTAACTTCTCATTTACACCTCCTTGCTCTTCTGTGGTTACGAAGAGAAAGGAGACTGTTTCTTTCTTTTTAAATACTGGCAAGGGAAGCACTTCATCCCTTATGTGCTACAAATTGCTCAAAGGTAGATGTTTTAATCCTCTTCCACCTTTCTGCAGAAGGTGGTTTGCAGAGGAGGAAGAAAAGCTGCCAAAGTACTGAGGAGGTACGTGCTCAGCACTTCTGTGGAGATCAGGTACCATGGGACAGTCAGTCAGCCATGGATGTACAGTACCTGAGGCAGAGAAGTACCTACGGAGCGTTAGGTAGTGCTGACTCCAGGATTGTTAATGGCCAGTTGGGTACCACTGAACTCATAATACAGACAACAGAAGAGGAGTCTAACTTCTCATTAGAGTTTCATACTACAGGCTTAGTGACCAGTACTTACAGTCATGCAGAAGTATCAATACAAAATACCTACAATTCCTTTTCATAGATTTTAAATGGCTGGGCAGAGATTGACATTATCTGCCAAATGGTGACTGTCATTTAGATTTGTTCCCAATTAATTCTACAAGAGCAAAAAAAGTCTCAGGCACTGTGTAATCAGTGGATTACAGGCCCTTCCTTGTTCCCTCTGACACAATGACCAAGTGGAACTTAGTAAATCAGATTTTTAAAGCATCATGTCAGATGAAGACAGTTGACCACATTGCCATGATTATTTCATTAATAATCTCTATCTAGGCTTTTGTACCCAATATTGTTGTGTTTGAGAACCTCTTATATGCCAAGTACGCTGTTATACAAGTGTTATTTCTCTTCAACCTGGGATAAGAATGAAAGGGTAAACATGCACTAAAAACAAAACACCTAATCACAACCATACAGCACCTGTTTCATCAGCTAGCTAGCTAGGGCTCATAAGAAACTTACCTATTTCTGAAGCAAACAAGTATGAGATGACTATCCAGCCTATGAGGTTACCTTTAATACTACTATACAGTATAAATTGGAGGAGGAATCCCAGTTGTGTATGTGAAGAGAGTTTGTACCAAGCATGAAATACTGGTGCAGTTATTCTGTGGATTTGACTCAGAAACAGAATAGTCAAGTAATTCAGAATCCATTAACGGATGAGTAATTTGAGAAATACTGTACAGTTTCTGAATATTATACAACTAGTAAACTACATCAGGACCTTTTTGTTTTCCTACAGAGTGTTTCAAGATAGATTGGACAGAAAATAAACCCCAACAAACACTGCTACAGCTGACAATGGACCTTAGTAATATGAGAACTCCCAGAGGGAGTTTTATATTAATGGCAACATACGCTCCAGTGCCATTCAGTTTATATCTACAACAGGAAAAAAACCCAACCCCAAAACAGAAACAACAACAAAAAAAAAGCAAAAACCCCCAAACCCTGTTTTACTCAATTGCACTATTGAGTACCTCAAGAAGGGAAATGTCAATGCCAACTTTACAATTCCTAAATTAACTATGTTTTTCTTCAATCGCACCCATTTTAAAGGGCGATATTTTAAAGCTTGAAAATTTGGATTTCCACACCATTTTGGGGTACTAAGGTAACTGTAGTTACTTAATTTAAGTAAGCTGACAAATTATTTTCAGGATTCCTTTCACTCTACCTCAAACTAAGGGAATTTCATGGGAAGCAGTTATCATTAGAGCGAGGTGTCCCTGCCCATGGCAGGGGGGTTGGAACTCGATGATCTTAAGGTCCTTTCCAACCCTAACTATTCTATGATTCTATTAGAGAATTTTGACTTGAATTGGTTCATTTTCTGTTTTGGTCATTAGAAGTACTTAAATAAAATTGCTTCTAGTTATGCCTCTACAGAAAGGCAAACCAGATTTAATTTAGGACACTGATTTAATATTTTTATGAGCTCTTCTATTTTATTCTTTCATTCGTTTTAGAAAAATGTTTCTTAAAGTCAAAATAGTGCTTTTGAGGTCCATAAGAATTTTTGGTACAAAAAATAATAGTGTTTCTCTCTCTCTCTCTCTCATTGGTTAAACACTTCGCTGTAAATTAAAGAGTTATTTCTCACATCAAATGGTTCCATTAGGCACATTCAAGTAAAATAACAAAATATCCAAGTAACAATGACGAAAGCCAAACATGGCTTGATAAAAGTCTACAGAGTTTTCTGTCCATTCTCTGGAATGGAATAAAGTTGTCACTTCCTTCAGCCAGACACTCACGTTGGTTTGATGTTAGCATCCACTTCCACTATGCAGAATAGTTTCTTAAAAACAAGAGTTCGGGTATTCTACAATCAGAAGAACCATCAACAAAGAATCTGCATTTTAAAGGAAGCTGAATAGCTCATTTTCGTTCTCAGTAGGTATCTGAGTGAACACTGGCATCTGAAGTGGAGTATCAGAGATTAAACCAGGGCAGTTAATGGCCATCAGATGCAACATTCTGGGTCCAGTCTAGAATAATCAGTGTCATACACCCAGTCATCACAAGTATACCGCTTAGAAAGAAGAATGCAGCCTGGAAAGAAAGAAAACATAAAGGAAGTATTTCAGATCCTGCTGCTACACCCATGAAGTCATGTGCATTTATGGCACAAAGTAAAAGAGACACAAGATTATAGTAAACAGCAAGGAGTTAGGAACCTTTTCATACTTGGGGTCCTTTTTCAAATAAAAAAGTGCATTTATCTCCGGTAGAGCAGACCTCATCCTCAACTGAGGGAAGTTAATGTAGCTGCTGATAACAGCCAGGATATGCCGCTGTGCTGACTTGATTCTGACTCAGTGTACCTAAGACTTGATTCTGAGTCAGTATGTCCAAGATAAGCAAGAGCACCAAGATCAGTCAGGATGACCCAAACAATTGGTGGAGGTCAGCTTTTATGGGGTAAATTATGTAAGTAAGTCTTGAAAGAAAATTTAAAGGAGAATAACAAGACTTTTTTAGTACAGTTCTTAAGGGAAACCTGTTGAAATTCAGTTCTTGTCAGCAACAGAAGGGCCCAACTATTATTGAGATTGGGGGGATGATAGGTGAGAAAAGTCACTGAAGTGAACTGAGCCTTGTGATGTTTATTTCCTCAGTTTTGAGTACCTGTGCAACTCCCACGTGTTAACTAAGATAACATTAAATCCCAGTTCAATGTCTGCCTTCACCAGGACCTCAACATTCTTGAACTGTTAAGAAGGAAACTGAAGTTCTTCTTCTGAATTAGTAAACAAGTGTGACTATTCATGTTTGGCTATACATACCCCGATCTTTTGCACTGACTTCATTGGTTCCTTCTTCACTAACTTGATATAGAAGGCAGAAGGAAGTATAAAGATCAGCATAGCAGCCGCAGATGCACCTGTATTAAAAAAGCACAGAAATAAATATTCATAACTGCTGCAATGGCATTTTCCAAGATTTTTAAGACTACTTGAACCGATGTGAAAATGCTTACCAATGAATCCAAAGATGTCTCGAATAGTAGGGACAAAGATAACAAGCATGTTGGTAAAGGCCAGAAGAGCAACTGTAATGGAACAGTGACGCCACCATCTAAACTCCTTCCCTGCCCACAACAGCTGGGTAATGGAACTGCGAATCTGTTGAAGAGGGGAAGGAACAAAAAAAACCCAGTCAGTTTAGTGTTCACTGTGGAAACCAGTGACTGTCACCTGACTCAGGCCTTCCTTCTGAAAGTATTTTAACACAATTTTCCGGAATATTTCAGACTTTAGTAAAATTTGAAAGACATTTGTATTTTTTCTTTTTCAATATTTATGTCCTGCATGGAGAGGCAGCTCTGTGTCTACTGCTCTGTTTCTCTTCTCAGTGATTCAGATTTTCAAAGCACAGCCAATAATGGACTGAAAAACGAGGAAAAACATCTGTCTTGGACAAAAAGAAACCCCAGGGATTTTTGTAACATCTAAGGATGCTGCTCAACAACATCCACCTAAATGGCCAGAATTCCATATTCACAATGTACTTACATAAACACAAAGAATTTTGTAAGCTGATATTCTATGATTCCAAGTACTTCCATAAAGGGACAATCCGTTCCACTTCCCCAGTCAAACAATACCATGAAAATAATATAATGGAATGTATTTGTATCTACTGCTTTGTAAGTGTTGCCTATTCATTTAATTTATGTGAATTAACAGTATAGAGCTATTTCATCAAGCTTATTAGAATAAATTTCTTTTTCAGTTAAGAGAAACATTCCATAAATTAATAAATGGGAGTTACCAAATCATCACATAACTGCAGCAGGACAAGGAATGAAAACCAAAAATGGCAGTAAGAGTAAAAAAAGTAAATTACTTACTGGGAAAATAACTACAGGTACAGTAAGGGTTACAGCCATAAGTACAGCAAGACGCACAATCAGAAGAAGAACATCAGCACCCAGATAAGCAGAGTAGGTATGAAGCAGTTCTGGTTCAACTTTTCCTATGAAGAAGTAACAGTCCTTTAATTAGATGTAGTTAACACACTTCTCAGACAAACTGCTTCTGCTCTAAATCCCAAGCAACTTTTACAGTTAGAGCAATAGGAATTGAAAGCCTCAACAGCTCCTGTAAGCATGTTTCCATTTTACACAGGGATAACTCGGAAGGAACTGCATCTGTTTTAATCCAATTTTAGTTCTGTGCCTTGGGCCTAATTCTACTACTGGTCTCTTTCTGGGTGTGCACGTATGAAAGTATTAACCCCACCACCCAACAAACAGTATATATTTAAAACTCATCTAAGTGCTTGCTTGTTCTAACTTAAAAATAATACTGTGGCTCTGCAGAACATAATTCATTTAAAGGAAAGCAAAGAAGGCAGTACTCACCATAGAATGTCAGGTATCCAAAGAGAGCAGCCAATAAATACATGAGGAACATGGCAAAGAAAGATACATAGGACACATTCATCATCCTTTTACGGCTTCGGCTATGAGGAAGAGAAAAAGAAACATTGTTAGCAATGAGAACATACTTTTATATTACTTTTGTTAGTGTAGGGATATTACAGACACATATTAAGATTTACCTTTTCAGTTCTTCATAGATGGGAAGAATTGCAGGATGGCACACAAAAGAAAATGTTAGGATTGGGACAGCATAGACAGTCTGGAAAACAAAAGTGTCTTTCTTAAATATCTCAACAGACATTAGAAATTTAGTTTAAAAAAAATTAATCCATAGATATTTCAGTTTTGACTTAGGCACCAGTCAGTTTTTGATAAAGACTGGCTATTCTCTACAACTGAAACTTTGGCAAAAATTAAAACAAGTTCGTATTTTCTTAAACCCATACCCTGAGGTACCAAACCCTCTCAAATCTCAGTGAAGTCCAATGTGAGCTGAATGTATTTGCATGCAGAATTATGTTCTGCATCTCACTGGCTTAAGCCGTTATAGCCTGATCATGGTACTGGTTATTACACATGCTTCTTCCCCATGTGCGAAGATGCCACTGTAATTGGGAGCATTTCATAAGAGTCAAGAGATTGTGACTGGGAAGTTAAAGTCTATCCCAAACCTTGGCATCCATTTCCCAAATGCTTTGCTATTTACTTCTGCAATCTACTTTTTAAAATGCTTTACTAACTTGAGGAAGCTTGAGAGATGCTGCACTGAAAAATGAGAGATGTATTTATTGCCACTCATCTCAGGCAGGCACCTCAAGCTCCTCTAATTTCTGTATCTGGAGAGTGGAGACATTCAGTCTACAGGAGGTAAACAGTGCCCTACTCTACTGGAACAGAAAGTCTTAGCACATCCCTAAGCTTACAACTTGGCAATTATTCAAAGGAAAAATGACCTAATTTATCTGCTACGTATTTAGTCTCTCAGTTATTTTCAACAGAAGGTCTGAGTTTTAGTCAGTTACCTGTGAATTGAAGATGAAGTATTTTGGCTTGCACATATCATCACTTGTTATGTTTTGATCCACCAAAGGTGCCAGTGTTGCATTTACCAATGTCATGTTCAGGATATCGCTGTCCATAGGACAAGGGATCTGAAACATCTTCCAAATTACCTAGAAATAAAGTTATGTATTTATTGTTACTTTAATGAATACAGTATGTGAAGCTTTTCAGAAACTGTCTCATCTCACTTTAAAATGCAGTTTTAGAAGCACTGTAAGTCTACAAGGTTATACTTACAACAATCAGAAAGAAGACCATACAAAGTAAGGAAAAGCCACTGGTATAGCCCAAATATCCTGTGTTAAAAGAAAGATAAAGAAATCTAAGGTACGTAAACAGAAACACCATTCAAGTCACAACATCATGACAAAACATATTTTCAGTGGTCTCTTTAGACTGCCATTTTCTAAGTGTTACAAAGAACAAGTTAATTACTCATTAACATCTGCTAATCTCAATCCAGAAACAAAAATTATCAAAGGCATATTAGGGTGTATACATACAGGGAGTCTGTAATACAGAACTATACAACTAACAAAAGAATTCCCACACCAACAACTACGTGAACTGCTTGTTACATACCAAGAACGATGAAAGGGTAAATTGTAACAGAACGCACTGTGCCTTTTCCCTTCTGTTTTTACTGATTCACTCAGTTTGTAGAAGGCAGTAATTTGAGAAAGTAATTCACATTGAAGCTCTCAGCAAGTAAGGCTCCAGTACAGGATTTTCTGAACAAACTGAATTATTCCCATAATTCAGTTGTTCCAACTGAATTATTTTATATATCACTGAATTACAGACGTTTCCTATAAAGTATCTGGTATAAATATTCTGCTACTGCTTGGGATCTAAAATGAAAATGTGACTTCTGTTCACGTTGCAAAGACAATTTAACTGCCCTGGGCTAGCATCCCTGGCTAGTATAGGATAGCTTATAACACTATTAGCTAGTAACACCGTTATATATGATTTCACTACTGACCAAAACAGGTCAAACTTTTTGGTAAAAACACAAAAGTCACTGCTGAGCCTTGTTCTAAAGAGCTACCATATCTGTTCACTTTTTGTTCCCCACATCTGTAACTTCCAATACATGTCTTGATTTTTTATTACTATTATTACTTTAAGCAGACTGACAGCAATGACCTGAACACTGATTAGTCCCAAGAGACAGGTTTGGGCACAGATGTTGATTCACATAGTACTTCAGGGCCCAAACATTAGATAAACCCATTTCTCCACAGTATTTTCAAGTGGTTTTGATGGTACTCTACCACTTACCTAAGTTTTTCAGTAAGGACAGAGGAAGAATGAGGATGACAGACACCAGCAGCACTAAATAGTCGCCGTTAAGATACCATTCTCTGCAGGAAAAAAAAGTAGTATTTGTAAATAATCAAAGTACCTAAAAATGATGACATTAGTGTTCGTTCATATCTTCTACAACATATGGCTTCTTAAGTATAATGTAGTACCTGATGTCACAAAGAATTACTATTCAACTTACTAGATGGACCTAAAGCCCTACAACCGCTTCTTATCTCACCCCAAACCTGCATTGTGCCTTTCCTTTAGTGTCCTTTTCTAAAATTAATATGCATCTGGAAGTCAGAAGACAGGAACATAAGTGACTGGTCATAAAAAAAAAAAAAAAAAGGGGGCAACTGGGATCAATCATGGAAAAAATAGTAATTTGCTTAAATGCTGGTTCCCAACTCTCCAGATGTGTTGGAACATCAGGGCCCCAGCAGGGTGGTGATCCACTTTTAATGGAAATGAAATTCTGTTGGGCTCCCTATGGGAGTTCAAAACAGGTGAGGGCTGGAGTTGAGACAGTAGCTCAAGCCCCCTGGCTGGGAAAACTCCAAGCAGCACTGGGAGTCTCTTGGAGGCACATTTAGCCCTTTTCCGTAGGGAAACTATGATAAGGACCTCAGATATTTTATTCAATTTATTCCACAAGAAGTAATAGCTATCTTTTGACAAAACATTTTGGTGTGTTAAGAGAGTAACATCTTCCTTTGACACACAGAAAAACAAAGTCAGATCTGTGTAAATATAATTTCACTGAACTAACAGAAAAACTGATCTTGAGTATTTAATTGTGGCAGGGTAACTGCTTTCTCCACCTGTCCTACAGAATCATCCTGTATTCTTTAAGCAATTTAAGTACCACTAAGCATCTATTCCAATATGTTAATACCTTATATTCTGTTATGCTATTGTCTTTACAGTATGTATTTTAAAATGGACTTTATCTAGATAAACAAAGAAAACCTAATTAGAAATCCGTGAATTCAAATTCAATTGCTGAATTAGAAGCCTATGTATGGCAGTGGAAATATGGAATAAGTTCTACAGACTTGCTCTGGATTTATGTAGTAAATGCAAAACCAGTTTGGTCATCTCTTTCCCCAGTTTTATGTGGGATAGCTAAATGTAAAAAATGTATTTTTGGAAGTTTAGACATGTAGGACATTAACACCACGTACCTTTTGTTGGCTTTCTTTTAAAGTGTAATAGTCTTGTGGTAAGTTTCAACGAAACCACAGCGCAAAGACTCCTTGCATTTGATATAACCTTAAGAACATGCACTTGTTACTGTGCAAGCCCCACATGGAGGCCCTCAGGAGTTTCAGACCGAGGACTTAAAAGTTTGTCTGTGCTCAAGAGTAAGGAATGGGATTGTGCAGCTTCAAGACACAGCTGAGCACTTTAAAAACTGCTAAACAGATTTTAACAATGGAGTTAATATTTGCAATATTGTCTCAGAATTCCAAAGCATCTTCTACAGTAAGCATTATTTTGGGACATTTAAACAGGTAAGTGCTTACATTTTAGGCAGCAGGCTGCCAGAGTGGAATCCAAGCCAATGGCAGCCACCCAGACTCCCCTAAGCAATGAATGGAGACAGTCAGTTAAATGGGGTCCACAATGGGCAGAGCACTGAGAACAGATTTACTTTACATCAGTGTACAGCTGCCTAGTGCCAGCCAACAAGAAAACACTTGAGACACAAATCTCAACTTCTTAATTTTGCCTGCCAGACTGGCAGAGCAGCAGCTGTATCCAGCCTGATTCACAGCCATCAATTTCCCCCTCGAACTGCAACCAATTCTGAATTACTCTATGATGAGGGGGCAATTGTAATTATTTGCCTCCAAGTCCCCTTGTAAGTACTGGCTAGTCCAGGGACTTCCTTAAAAAGTGGAAAATAAGGACTTGAATTCAGCCAAAGGGGGGAAATGAACCTTCCCAGCAAGGAATTTGTAAATGTTACATTACTGAGCAAATGGGGTGGGTGCATTCTTAGAGTACATTAAGGAAAAAAAAAAAAAAGAAAAAAAGAAAGAAAAAAAAGTAGAGAAAAAAGATGGCTAGCACTGTTGTCATGACAATATCTATCACAAGCTGTATGAACACCACCAAATGGCTTGAACCCCTTGGGGAACACAGGCAGAAAAATGCCTACCTTCTGAACTCAGGCTTAGGTGTAAGTTGGAGTCTTGAGCTGCTCAGCCCTCTCAAGACTGGGACACTTCAGGACAAGGCACAGAAGTACAACTCTGAAGAGTGAGATTTATAGCACTTAACTCTATCCATCTGAAGTCAGGCATCTTGTTTTAGATAACTGTTTTTACACACCCTCTCAATATAGAGCTATATGATAAATTGTTCTTTGGAGATGCCCAAAACAGGTGTCTAAGCCAGGTGCACTGAACTAACCACTACAGAGGATCACCTTTCTCCACTGATTATACCAAGACCAGAGTAATAATAAGCTCAAAAATCTAACTTTCAGATGGTATGGTTAGATAAAATGAACCCTACCCAAGGCACCCGCTTTAAAGCTATGCAGGAAAGACACTATGGAGTCAAGGTGTCTCCAAGGCTAGATGGCAATGTGTCCACCATGTTAATCTTGGGCACATAAACTCTGGTTTAGTTCAACATTTAGTCCCCATGTCTTTCTGGGAGCTGTCCCTTAATACATTCATTACATAACTGCACTTTAGCCTTATATTTAATCACTACCCACAATATTAACACTAGAAAACCCAAGTAATCGGTCCAAAACAGTTGGAATACGATTAAGGAAAACAAAACAAAAAACCAACCATGACTGCATTTACATTCCCTTATTGAGAGTATGTACCCACTGGTACATACATTAACACTTACCTGATGTTCTTTACAGAACAGCTTTCTGCAATATGATGCAATACCTGTATTTTTCTACCCCTTCCCCAGGATAGCTGGTTCTAAATGATGTGGAGCACTCAGGGGAAGGAAAAACTTACTGTATCTCTGTCTGAGTAAGAAGCTACCCTATGGTGTACCGAACGTGGTCTTCATGTAAATATAAATACAGTCTCCGTATTTGTTTCTCCTAATGGCTTCTCTGATGAGGAGTTCTAACACCTACCCTGTGGTCTCTTCGATGTTCATAAATGTCTTGATGACCAATGGTAACTCATATTTCACTATGAAGAGGTAGCTTGACATAGCTGTAGGTGAATAACATCATAGATCATTACAAATATAGAATATGCCACAGGATGCAAGAATCACATAACATGTTTCATAACTTCACTTGAACACAAGCAGTTAATGAAGACATGTTGTGTGAAGAAAAAAAGTCTCCAAGAATAAGCAGGGAACAATTAGTATTGACAGTACAAACATTTTAAGACCTTGTCCTCACCTCCAATGTTCTGCATTGTAATTGATCCAGAAGCAGCAAGTTTTCCAGCCATACCAAATGCCTTCATTCCCAACTGTTCATACAACAAAGATCCTGAAAGAAAACAAGATAATCCATTGGAAGGGTGTGTTTCAATGATATCATATTTCAATGCTATCATATGAAACAAATACTGTATGCTTATAAAATAGTGATTTGCCATACCTCCTTCATTGGCAGTCTTCAAAAGGAGATGCACTGAATATAAAGAAAATATTGAGACAAACAGCAGAAGTATCCTGGGGGAGGAAAACACGCAAATTTTACTAGCCATAAATGACTTACTGTAACCCTATTAAATAAAGGTGTATCAAACAACAAAATTAATCATGTTAAGATATTATCTTTTAAACTCCTATAGATTCTAAGGCCAGTTAAAAGCATTCTGAAAACCCAACTAATGACTAATTTAGAAAGGATTTTATGCCGAAATTGCTTTTCAGAGGCATGGAGATCAGTTGTAGCGTAGGATTAAACAATGTTTACATTCAGGGTTAAGTGGCCTAAGCATCAAAAGACCATTATAACTGGTTACATTTGACATAAGTAACAGTGTCAATGAGAATGGTCTTTGTATCATTGTAAGAAACTGTATTTCTCCTGCCTTCCTGTTCTTGTTCAAAAGTAACCATCCATTATCCATCATAGTTACCCATCTATTGACCATCCAATTGTGAGTTAACTGCAGCTACAGTGAAGATTATCTCTTGGTCTTAAACAAATCAGCTTTTCACAGCTTAAACCTGTGCTATCTTTTTTTATATAAAGATGAAACTGCAAAAGCCTGAAAGAACTGACTCAAAATTCAGATATATCAAGAGCTCTGTTTTCAATGGAAATACATTAAAAAATAACGTTAATAAAAAAAACAACAACCCTTTCTTTGCTCAAGTTACTCTTCATGTGTGCTTACATAGGAATTGCTAGCAGCGTGTTTATCTTCCCCACAGCTTTTACATGCAATACATATTTGCAACATGTAGAGCTCGGATCTCTCAAGAACACATCTCTCCCACAACAAATGCACTTCCTGCAGTGGCACACTAGGGGGGACTTCTCAACTGCTGAAGAACACAGTGGAAAATTACAACACGTTAAAAAAAACCCAACACCCTGGCCTTTCTTACACCTATACAAGCATTCTGCTTTATAGGAAAGCTAAGAATCTGAAAAATGCTGCCCCAAAAATGGCAAAATCCATCTAGAGTTCCCACAATATTCTTTACATTTTGGGTAATTTTTGATGTTGGCAAAATTAGTAAACCCTGCACAGAGAACTGGAAACCAGAACATCTGAGAAAATCTTTGCAGATGAATGTATGAGGAATACAGGAAACTTGTGTTACTGTGCCAATTCAACACCAACACATGCACACAAATAAACCCCTGTATTTCTGACAGGCAGAGATTAACCAGGATGTAACTCAAACATCAAAACAGGACAGCAAGATGTGAAAGGTTCATTAAACCATCACAGATCTTGGACCCCTCAGTCCTAACCTTGAATTGCTGCCTACGGTGTTGACAAGATCAGTCAGCAAACTCATCTTGAAGCTCAGTTTCTGGCTTCCATACTGCATCATTCATTGATTTAGTGCTGACACAAGTGACAAGTCACAGCACTGACACAAGTGACTTCATGCAGTCTTCAAAGAATTTACTGCCTTAATCAACTGCATCTGCATCTGAATCTGTAATCTAGTTATTAAAGGATGTCTGTAATGCCCTCAATGTCATCATAAATCCTCAGTATCATCAGTGATTGACTGCCTTGCTGCCTTGGAACTGTACAAACTGCACCAAGTTTTGCAAGGTTTATCTTTCGCATCAGTACTAACACAAATAGATCTGAACGCAGTATCTGGAAATGCAAAGGTAACTAAACGACCTCAGCACCCAATTGTTAAATTGGCAGTTTTGAACATTTTTGTCTTCAGAAAACAGGATCCTTGTTATATGTAAATCTATTCAAATATTGAACCTCACATTCTTTATTTTTCTCTCCTCAGAGATGTTCCAATTACATTATATTGTATGCATTGCAGAACACCTTTAGAGCACGAAACTGATGTGCAGAGAAATTAAGTACCTCTTCTGAATTCATGTTACAAAGCTGTCCATTCAGTTTAGCATCATCTAAATAAGTCTTAGTAAAACTTTAACAAATTGTCATGTATTTAAAATAAAATCCTTTAGATCAGAACTTTACATGCTGCTAGTTTCCTCAGGAAACTTGAATGCCACCCCGACATACTGTGAAATGCATGGAAGTAAACCTGACCTACGACCTTCTGGAAATCTGGTAAGAGAGTAAAGCAAATTTCAGGCTAAACATTACTCTTCACTTGTTCTTGAACGTTTAGCACATTTATCTATTTCCATGATAAAAAATACACAGTTCCTTTAAACATATCCATGGATTCCCATTTGCACTCACTAATACTACATGTTGTGTGAGCTGAACTGCCTTCAATATATGAAAAACATACTTTCCCAAGACATTTAGGTGCAGTGAGCATAACTGTTTCCTGACGTAATTTCCAATTACATTATCCGACTCTCATTTTATGCCTGAAAGCTTCTGTCAATACAGACATCGCAATAAAGATATGCTGGTTATCCTACACCCCTCCCTTGCAGGGAGACTGCAACTTTTATAGGTGAAGCTGAAACCAGGTCCCTGAATTGAGCATAATAATGCTCAGTAATAAAAGCACTGCCATGAAAAAGATTTCTTTACTGGTGTGAAGATGCACATTGCATCTCTGTTCCTGAAATTAGCTGTGCTTAAAGGAGACCCTAATTGGTAGGATTGGGTCACAGAAATATTTAGGAGTAGAAACAGCAAGAGACAAGCAAAATAATCCTTTTCTGCCTACTTTTTTCTTCTGTCTGCAGCTTGATCCTGTACTTTTTGTGCAATTATCACTTCCACTAATTGAAAGACTTCTGTTGTCGTTAATTTCAGTGAACTCTAAAGGAAACGGCTAATGCAGACTTCAGTATTTTAAGTAGCACCTCCTTCCCAATTGGAGAATGGAATTTTCAAGGGAAGTCTATCAGCTACTCATGAAGAAAATACATCTAAGTAAAGGAAAATTCACTGTAAAGTGTTTAGTGGGTTGCAGAACTTGTAATGAATCTGTTTAATTTCTGCAAGTCTTTCTGAATGTATCAGAGTCTCTTACAAGCTATAAAATCTTAATATGCAATTCTGAACCCTACGGCAATGATGGGTATTTTGGAAAGGTCATATCCTTATACCAAGTGTTTTCCATTATTAGTTATACAGCAGAAAGAGTATTTTTGTTTATGAACCAAAAGATACTTACACAAAAAGAGCAATTCCAGTGTTAGCCATGGCATAAGAAAGACCAAGAATGCCACTACCCACAATGGCATTGCTCAGATTAAATACTGACATTCCAAAGGAAGTAGTACCCGGATGCTGAGAAAAGGAAGACAGGTAATAGTTAGTGGAAAATTAACACTTATTTTAGAATTATCACAAACATAACATTGGCAAGAAAGGGTCTGTTTCGAAACATCACTGGTATGTACTTACATACTGAGTTTCATATTTCTTCTTTCCAAGATTGGAGTCGAGCAGGAAATTCTGATTTTCTGGATCAATATCCGCATAGTGGCTGTAAAAAACATTGCATCATTAGCGACTGTCACGGGCAACTTGCGTATTAACTTCCCATTCAGCCATTCCGAAACACTTCAAAGGGAAGCCAGAAAACCAGCGGAACGACCAGAGGTGTACCCCCCCCCCCCCCATTCATTCCCCCGTATCCGGCCAGCACACAAAGCCCTGCGCTGTTTACATCCGCGGTCACTTCCGTGCGTCCGTAACGCGTGCCAGACACGCGGCACCTCCCGACCCGAGGCGCCGTTTGAAACTAAAGGCTGCAGCGTGTCGCCGGTGGCCGCGGCTGGGTGCGCGGTGCCGGCAGCGGGGCGCGCCCTCACCTCTTCATGGCAGCGGGCTTGGTGGGGTAGGGGTAGGTGAAGTCGTTGCTGTTGGAGCTGTAGCTGCTGCTGTCCTCGTCCGGGGAGATGTTGAACTTGCCCACCTCGGCGCTGCTCATCCTGCCGGGATGGGGCCGCTCTTTTGTCCTTGGCGGCGGGGGGATCGCCGCGCCTGCGGAGGTGGGGAGGCGACGTCAGTTGCCGCAGCGGGCGCCGCGCCGAGCCCAGCCGCGGGCACGTCACGTGGCCCAGGCGCGCTCCCCCGCCCGCCGCCGAGTGGAAAAGTACCAGGAGCGTGGGGCGGGGGGCGCGCGCGCGCGCTCTGACAAAGGTGGGACCCGCGGCGGGGCTGGTGGGGGGGGGCACGACCGAGCGCTACCGGACCCGCTCCCAACGCTACGGGCACGTCGGAGGTACCGGTAGCGGCACCGGCACCAGCACCAGCACCGCCGCGCCCTCCCGACACCGCCCCCCCCCCCCCCCGATAGCGGGGCGCAGACTGATGCAACACCAGCGGGAGATGTCACACTGCGCCTCCCGCCCCGCGGGCGCCCCTCTGTTTACCTCCCCCCTCCCCACCGGTGACACCGGGCATCCCCGGCGCTTTCAATGGGAAAACGCGGACCGGTCGCGGGACTGCCCCACGCGGCAGCCGCTCGGGGTTTTTTCCATCCCGGCGGTGTGTCCCTGGGAGCACCCGGCACCGCGCGTCCCCGAGGAGCCCGGCGGGGCTGAGCGGCAAGGCGAAGGGGGGCTGCCGCCGGGAAAGGCTGCGCCCCGAAAATCGCCTCGTTCCTTCTCCCGCGCCGTACCTTCTTCGCAAGGTCCGGAAAGCGGGTTCTTCTCCCGGGGTAAGGAGATGCTCCTCTGGCCGCTGCTGCTCCTTGCGAGGGAAGAAAACCCTTGACTGTAAAACGTCAACGAAAGCAGACCCCTAAATAAATAAAGGCAGGGAAAATTCCCTTCAAAGAGCCAGCGGTGTCAAAGGCAAAGGAAATCTCTCGTCCGTGGCTCTCCGACGGAGGCGCTCCCGGTCTGACGGCCCCCTCGGGGCGCCGCCGCTCTTCAGACAGGAATGCGGGCGCGTCATCGCGGAGGGGCGCGGCGCCCGCGCACCGCCCCCCGCCCTGCCCGCCCGGCTGACCCCTGCGCCGCCGAACGAGGGGTGCGGGGCGGGGACAGGGGGAGCACCGCCGCCCTACCGAGGGGTGGAAGCCGGTTCACCGGCCTGTGCCCTGCGGGGGGTCGGGAGCGGGACCGCCGGTGCATGGGAGCGGTGGTGGCGCCGGGCAGCTCTCCCGTGTACACGGCGGGGCGGCTGCGCTCCACCGCGGAGACGGGAGGCGCGGGGCTTGTCGAGGGCACACGGTGAGAAAGGTGTTTCCGCCTGCCCCGTGCTGTACCCGCAGCTTGACGGCAGTACCGGGTACGGACTGATCGGGAGGGGGGGGGCTCCCTCCCAGTTCCCACGCTGGCGCTGCCCCGCGGCTCGGTGCACGGCCGGGATGCGGTGCCACCGGCTCATAGCCACCCACTGCCGTCAAGCGCTATTTTTAACGTGCGAGCAAGTAGCGACGCACGTGCGAGCCTCGAGCGTTTCCTCCGGGAAAGCCATCCAGAATGACGGCCTCCCCCTAGTGATGCCAGGCAGGACAAACCCCAATGGAGGGAAGAAAGAGTGGTGGTGGGGGAAACATCCCCCTTGCCTTTCCTCAAGCAATCAGAAACTCTGGAGGGCTTCGCTGCTTTACCGGCTGCAGAAGGGGGCAGCCAGGCTTTGGTCTTCCCCTGAGCCTCTCACACACGCTGCGGGAGTGCAGCCCCAGAGGAGGCTTGGACACTGCTGCAGGGGACCCCTTGGCCACTGTTTCTGCAGACAGAGGGGGTCTGAGGTAGGTGGTGCTGCCAGCCTCGAGTATGGAGTGTGGCTAGTATGGAGAATGACTTTGTGTTCGCTTGTCCTCTCCGTGTTCCCTCTCCGCCTTGCAGCACCCATAGCTCGGTGTGAGGCCCTCCTGACGGCACATCTAAACCGGCCCGGGGAGGCCGCAGCGGGGCCGGGAGCTGCTCGCACCGTCGAGGGGCAGCGACCGCCGCACGGCCACCCGCGCTCCCGGGCCTTGCGGAGGGGGACACGCGGGGTTCCCCTGAGCTGAGACAGCGCAGGAGGGCCGGGCCCTGCTTGGAGACCCCCGGCGGCATGCGGGAAAGCCGGGAGGCGGCGGGGCGCACCCGCTCCCGCTGCGGAACGTTCTGGATGTGCGCCGGGGCCGGGGGGCGGGGCACGCGCGGGAGATGCGGAGCCGAAAATTTTCCATCCCCGCAGTTCTGCCCCCGCCCCCCGCGCCATCAGGCACGTGACGTCACGCCCCTCCCATTTCCCCCTTCCATCCCCCCCCCCGCAGCCCAGCCCTGGTGTGTGAGGCGGTGCGGTGCGGGGTGCGGTGTTCGGTGTTGCGTTCCGCTCCGCAGCTCCCCGCGCACCCCCGGGGCAGAGGGGCGCGGCGGTGGCGGCCCGTGTTGCTCATGGGTTGGGCTGGGCCGGGCCGGGCCTGAGCCACCGGCGATGTGTCCTTAGTGTGTGTGGGTCGGGTGCTAGGCGTCTCGTAGCGGGGTTTGGGATCACTCATCTCGGGGTGCTTTAGGGATGGACGCGGCCCCTCGGAGCCACCTGCAGCTCAGGACGCCTTGGGGCCGAGCCTCACCCGCTTGCAGGCGAGGGAAGCGACACTTGGGGTGCTGTGGTGTTTCAGAGCTGCAGCCGTAGCGCGTTCAGTCCTCCTGGAAACGTGGCAGCCTTGGTAGGAGGTCCGCAGAGGCTGCCGCGGCCTGATGGGTTAAACTGAAAGGACCGTACAGCGCCGCTTGAAAGCGCCGTCACGGTGATAGGTAAACAAGCATTGCTACCGGAGAGGCGGGTCACACGCCTCTTTGAATGGGAACGTGGATGCCTTATGGGTCCTCCAGTCAGTCCCATTCTTCAGGTGTCAGCAGTTCTGTGAAATTACAGTTTACACGAGAGAGAGGTCAAGGTGACCTGTTTATTGTGGGTTTGGAGAGCGTTAACAACAAGCGCAGTGATGTAGCTCTAACGTTTCCAGGATCTCTTTCAAGGCAAGTGCACAGATTTGGTGCACATTGAAGTGTCCCATGTGCTCCTGGTAAATACAGAAGTTGCCTTCATGGATGTAGCCTGATTGCCATGAGCAGTACAAAACAAAATAGCAAAACAAAAGCTCTGCTGTACAAGTGCTTGATTTTTCTTTTTTTTTTTTTTTTTTTACTACAACTGCCATAATATTATGAGGAGGAAAAAAAATGAGGCTTCTTTGCTCATTATGAGAAGAAAAAATGGTAAAATCCATACAGGAAGAAAAATTGCTCTTTTTCTAATGGCCCCATTATTGGAAGGTTCACTGTGCAACATGCGAGTGCAATCTGCACTGCTCCGGAATATTGAGTCTTTAAACTTGTTACCCATGCAGCCTGTTTGATGGTTCAAATGGTCTGCTTTTTCAAGTGGTTTTAAGTAATGCCTCACTGATTGAATTATAATTTTCCTGACTTTGTAATTGCCAAGAATGTCCTTGGCAAAATATACATACAATGTGTTTCATCCAGTTTTGAAAAATATTTTGTAATCAGAACAATAAAAGTTAATGTTCATCAGTTCCTCCCACCACACTTTCAACGATTCACTTGTTTTCATGTCCTGCTGTTCTTTCTCCCTTTTTTTGGTGTTCTTATGTTGTTTTTTCCTCCCCTTTCTTTTTATTCTCCTTGTCCCTCAGTCACCCTCATCTTTATACCTTAACTTTGTTTGCCTTTTATTTATAGTTTTTTATTATAGATGTGTGCACCTAATCGTTGCAAGCTTCCTTACAACATCTGAGCCTTTAGGATAGTTGAGAATCTCTTAATCTGGAAATTCTCTTCCTACTTTTTGTATTCATAAGATAACCCAGCACAGTTCTGGAGACTAAAAACTGCTGAGGATTATTTATGTTTTTTAAACACTGAAAACCAGGGTTTTGTATTTTCTTTAATAGAGCTGTGGGTGATGTGTCTTAGTCAGGTTTCCCATGCTGAAAGACCTTATAGTCTTTTATGGGGAGATGCCTTACACTTTCAAAACAAAGCAAAACCAGACAAAGATAACATGTTACTGTAAGGATGTTGTAAAAGAAATGGTAAGTTAGTTGCTAGGTGGTGTAAAAATTGAGTTGTGTTCAGTTATATAGGTAGAAATGAGCTGGAGTTTTCAAAGTATTACACAGGAAGATAACGGGGTGGTTTCATCTGAAGAGCTGTCTGCTATGCTCCTCTAAATGCTGGTGTGCAGCTCAGGCTGTGCTGTAGATTTACCCCATGCCATAACATGGCCTACAAGTAACTGGCCTGTGAACGGTTTCTTTTTGAATTGTATTAGTTGTTTTTATGTTTAGAAAAAGAAGTAGCTGGCAAGTGCCCGTGGTTTTTCTTTGCTCATGTTTAAGCAAATAAAAGGCCTTTGTAATATGGGAGGTTCTTGTTTCATGCTATTTCTTCCTATGTATATAAACAAACTTTGTGGAATACTGCAAAACTCTCTGTAGGACATGCCCAGTAAAGTCATTTGTGTTTATGCTATGCATCAAAAAGTTATGTGTACAGTAATAATGTAAACGTCAAGTCCATCCACATGGTTTTTAGATGATGCTTTCTAAATTGCCCAAAGGATATCTAATGAAATATGTAATATGTCAAAGCAATCTGTACTAATAGCTACATAACATTCATTTTGCCTGTGCCTAGTATGAATAATATAAAAATCCCAACAGAGTAAGGATGTGCATCGGGTAAACTCCTTGGTACCGTCAAGAGTCTGGGGAAGGATGGTGATGCACAACGGTGACAGGGACCTGAGAGTTACATTACGTCCTGAGTGAAGCATCTGCAAAGTGATCTCTACATGACAGCCACGGTCTGTCATGAGGAAGAGCTGGAAGTGTGGGTGAGTGAGTGGGGAAAACAAGGACTCATGGTTTTGCTGCATGGACTCAGTGGTCCATGAAGATGCAGGTGGGGCTATGGGTTCCACCATCCTTCCAAACAGTTTGGTTCATTATTCTTACCTCACATGGACTGCCTGTAGCGTGTAATTAATGAAATTACAGGTTCTGATTATATGCTTTCTCAAA